ATCACCGACACGGCTCTCGGTTGGTGACCACCGAGAAAAATCTTGCGGTTTCCAACACTAGTTTTGATCGTTTTTTTTTTTGAGCTATTGTTTTCATGCTCTGAGAGCAGTCTCCAGCTTTGATGTAATCAATCGCTTAAGTTGATGAGAAAGCTGCATTGAATGGTTTCAGCAGTGTGAAGAAAGTGTGGTCAGCCTTCAGTGTGGTCGTGTTCAGTCGGAAAGTTTTGATGAGATTGTCGTATGCACTTATACAGGGTGGATATTCGCACTAACCACTGAACCGATCGCTAAACCGCGCAAAGATGCTCTCACAACATTTGCACCACACGTGGAGGTTAAAGTTCAACAGTTGAGGTGAAAACTGTAGAGATCTGCGATATCATTGATGTAGACATCATATAGTTTTTATGCTGTCATTCGATAGTGTTAATAATAACCAACTTTTTAAGTCTTCGTCTTTTTAGGCAATCAAAATCGATTATCGTTTTCGACGAAAATGTCGAACTTCTGGCTATTCTCACATTCTCACTTTGACTATGACAGTTCTAAATATTCTAAAAGTGTGATGACTTTGTATGAAGTATTGGAAAAATACTGACAATTCAACATTTTGGATTGGTTTCATCTGAGGCTTAGACTTATCCTTCAGCTAACATTTGTGCTTAGTCCTGAAACTATCTTTAACCGTACGCTTGAACTTGAAGTCAATCTCACATCAAGAACCTTTATAACACTTTACTACACTTCAAAATGAATGTTATCGTTTAGAAGTGAATTAGAAGAATTGGAACACAAAGTGAATGAAGAAAGACAACGTTATCATCAGCTGACACTCCAAGAAGGGACCAAGATAGCAGGTGTACCTCGTTTCGCGATTCAAGATCAATTCACTCTCGATAAATCGTTGGCTTGCTACACACTGTCAATTGAACTGATCATTCCAATAGATTATATCCTACTCCAGGTTGCTCTTCTTGGATTGATAAAGCCATAACCATATTTCAGATAGTGCAGTTTCGTGTGACTTGAACAGATGAGACTGACATTGAAAATCCTTTTTTGTTTGATTGATTTCTTAATCCGACTCATTTATGATCATTTCAGAGTGATGTTGGTGTTGAACTTATTGATGTCTCGAAAAATTCTGCTGTGGTTTCAACAACGATACCCGAAGAGGGGGTAAATTCCAGAGTGTTTCTACTATTTTCGAATTATTTCATTTCAGAAAGATGGGAACGGCAGCATTACGTATTAAGCTGATTGCTAGCGTTTTTTGTCATAAAAATTCAATGTTAGAGTTAAATTTAGTCGGGTAATGCTCTGTTGGCCACATATCGATGTCAAGCGAATACAACGCGAACCGAAATGCGCATTCGATCGATTGAAGGACAATACGGCACTTTACAAGCGTATATCTGTCCCAAAATTCACCCAAAGATGTGCCAAGTAAGTTACTAGCGCATGAGTAAGTATTTGCAACATGAGTATTTGTGTTTGCAACGAATGTATGCTTTCTGAAATGAAGCAGTACGATTTGATACCGTATGAAAGGTCTTTTGAAGTATCACTATATTATTGTTGATTGATGCTGCAACTGATATTCACGAACTTATGATAAAATTGAATGCTCAGAGAAGCAAGAAACCGTGAAAGTCGCAGTGAGAAAAACTGTGAAACCGTGTATGTGAGAGTCAGTGTGAGGGAAAAACGAAGAAATCGAGAGTTTCATTCTTTGAAATTCTATTCAAAGTTGACGTAAGAGCCAATTTTTGATGCACATTTCGCTGGCATCGAACTTATAGTGGACGAGATAGTGTGATCTGGAGACTCCAAGCTGTTGAAGTTGTTCCATGTGACCAGAACTTGAGTTGTGAAAGTTTAAGAATAGTGCAATTTTGGGCTTTTTAATTGTTCAAAACGTTCACTTTATCATTTACATTTCACCGAATGAATTATGCAACTTATAGTGGTGCTAACCATTACTAATATGTTCGACTTATCGTTTATGTTCTCGAGCGTAAAATTGGTTGTTTTTTCTTGTTGAGCATGCGAATATAATACCAACTCGAACAGAGGGCACTGCTCACTTTCCTATACGCAATTCTACAATAAGTGTTTCACGAATCTAGTGGAAATACTGGATGTAGTACTGAAGCGAAAAAGCTTGAAAATATTCATTCGATCTCTGGAACGAAAGTTGAATGGAATTGCTTCAACTTGATCGATTTATGGTCGAAAAAGTTTGCTGTATTATTTCAACTATCCATAGATTACTGCTTTAAACAAGTGAATCAAGTAAATTGTGAAATCATTTTTTTTTCTTCCAGCATGTTTGTGCTTGAGTGAATGCGTTAACGAATGGAGAAGTCTTTATTGTTCACAACGCCTTCTGCCGCAAATATCTCCGTTACCAAATAGGTTTCATTGACTGCTCTCTCAGTTCTTCAAAAAGAATGATCAATAAATATGCAACAGCAATTAATCACCCATCGCGAAATTAACGTAACAATCAGGCGAATCGTCAATTCAGAGTCCTAGCGAACAGCATGCTGCACATCCACGTGCTGATGAATAGAAACATCCCAAACCACATCCGCATTCGGCACGCTTGAACATTGCTTCAGATGAGCCTCTTTTAGCGAACTCGCCTAGTGCAAAGCTCTGAAACGATGCATTACCATGCGATTGATATTCTGATGTATTCAAAATTAATTATATCACCTGATTCCTTGTTGTATTTTACAGAAAGAAGTTCATTACGTAGCATTAATATCATGTTTAATTAATCACTGAATTGACACCACATTAGTGGTTTGTTTTCGTAGATTCTGAATCAGAATGGAATTCGAAATTAATCGATAGATTGCGAACTTTTGCTGATTCAGCTCAACATGAATAAGCTAAACGAAGAAGTGAATAATGCATCGGTTAAATATGCCTTCTTAAATCCGTGGACAAAATATTCGTAGTTTCAGTAGTCGTGTGATTTGTTCGTCTCAACGAATTTATGCTCAAAGCTCATTTTCATTCTCTTATCCTTCAACATTTCCATCAGTTAATTTTCCACTAGCGAATCGAATTGAATAGTTGCAATATTAGTGGAGAACAAACAAGAAGTGAATGTGACCAACCCTGGGATCGAGATAGTGGCCATCGTACAGTGTGAATGCATTACTCGGATGTGCAGCGATTAAAACAAATGCGATGACTGCGGCGAATAGAGACAATTGTGGCAGCTTTGATAATGTTATCATCCTGCAAAATGAGTCTATCATCAATCCTAATCATCATTTATCCATTGATATTATTCAGCGATCGAGTCCATTTCCATCATGTCTTGCACTATTCCTACTCGAAACATCGATACTGTGCACCGCGTGAATTCACTCGGGGTGATTTGTTCGGGCAAAATTCATCTGAAATCATCGGAATGCACACACAGTATATTGTTTGGAAAATTTCAAAGAAATACGCCAAAAACAGATGTTAATGACCTGCGAATTTGATGGGACCACGAAACTTGAATAATCGATTAACTGAGGTGAGAATGACAAAACAGATCACTGATAAGTGTTAAAGCAAAATGTGAACGTAGCTGTTAATACGCCCGAATGTATATTCATGGTTGAGGTGCTTGATGAGGAAGCATTCTCCATCAATATGACGACTGGAACTTTAATTTGTGAAGTAACGGTTTTGCATAATTCATCGAACTCAATTCAATTTTAACGAAATGAAATGCAATGTTCAAACAGACATTGAAGAGCACAACTTTCAGTTCATTCACTACTTTTTTGAGGTTTGCCAAAGTTAATATTCAATTTAGGAAAATGTTGATTATCTTTATGGAATGTACCATAAGCTGAAATGATGTGGCTATAGTTTGATTATGCTGTGGAAGTTTGAAATTTCGAAGTCATCTGAGATCAATCGAATAATTCGAACGTTTTAAGGGGCACAATAATTCGGATTCAAGCTTCGGCTATCTTGCGAATTCATAAACAATTTGTTCATTCGAAATCACAAGGAAGAAGTCTTAGTGTGAACTTCTCAAAGTTGATTTGAAAGGTCAGCCGACTAAATCAAAATGGCTTCTGATTGTTCACAGGAACAGTTAAATTTTCATGTTTAACATTAAGAATACCATCAGGGCAACAAATTGGAAATTAAGTCAAAGTACAAATAATTGTACAGTTTTGTTGACTCGAATAATTCAAATAGTGTACGGTAGATTCTGCTTTAACACTTATCAGCAATTCAATTTCAATCGTTACAGTAGAAGTGATTGTTTCGTAATCAACTAGCAAGCAGTCACCAGTGAATTAATTATTTGAAAAACAGAGACAAACTGGTGACTCGATGGACAGATTGGCCGAATGTAGAGTTGTGAACGTTTAAAGTCTACTCTGAATCAGCTAACTTTTCCAGTTAAGTCGTCAAGATAAAAGCAAAATCTCCTCCCTCCTTTTTTCCAAGTTTCCGCCTATTCACCACCCATTTTCATGCATTATTCCCCTCTATCCATTACTTCATTCACATGATTGATACCTATCACTCTAATCACATATCTTCTCCTTCAGCACTCGACTGCGCAATTCAATTTCGATTCAAGTAATCAACTAAATACTCACTAAACATTTTTTGCTGTCTCTTGATGACCATCTTCATTTTACCACCATCACTTAAAACAGACTCAATTGAATTGCTCCCTAAATGTTCTCTTTAATTGCACTGCAGCATATCTTTCATTACAAAACTAAATTTCCATCTCAATCAACAAGCAACCAACTCTAATTGCTCATTCGATCATTTGAATTTATTTGAATGAAAAAACTGTACCGTTATATGTAATCTGGCTAAATTTTCAATGGACACTGACCAAATATTCGTAGGCTCTTGCTCTTAGTGACGATCAAAGTCCTTCTAGTTCATTCACATATCGCCCCGAAATCTTCATATTCATATCCTTTCTCCGAATCAAAAAGTCAGCAGAACCTATTCACCTTCGATGGTTATATCGAGAGTTTAGCGAAAGGTGACAGTCGACAGATTTAATTTGAAGCATGAAAAAGTGATCATCCCGTGAAGTCAACAGAACAGTACGGAGTCAAACAATGTGTGTGTGTGTGTGTGAACAGTGTTGATGGATGCGAAGTCAACTCAAAGTCATATCAATGTCAGAAACAGAAATTGAAGCCTCTGTTCATCCCAATAGGCGAATATAAATTGCATGGACTGAAAACAGAAAGCAATGCACTCGCAAACTAATGATTGTGATTTATAGAATTTATTTATTTATTTATATATTGATCTAGTTCAATCTAAGAATCAATTACTCATGAAGTGATTGATGCTATTTACGGCGAAATTACGCAGAGCTCTATCAAGTTACAAAGTCTCGTCGAATGAATTTCCATAAGAAGAAAGGAAGGAAACTGCAGCATTCTGATGAAGTGATATAGATTTACTGTAAGTCAATCGCGGACTGACGATCGCTCGATCGAAGTGTTTCTGACTTGAGAGGATCAAATTGCTTTCCATGCAATTTAAGTCAACACTGACTCTGCAGAAAGTTTATCGATCACTTCAATTTTTCTGCAATTTCCTGTCTCCTTGCTCACCTTACATTGTAACACATAAAACGAGAGCATCGTGTAATGAATATCTAAATATCATGTTTGCAATCAATCCATCACCTCATAACCGTCTTACTGAACTGCTCGCAAATCATTTGTGTTAACGTATTGTAGGTCCGATCCTATAGCATAAAACCGCTTTCGCTACACCAGCGAATACATGAATTCGATGCTTCGCGTCCTTTGAATACACTTCGAATCAGCGGTAGTTTTACACTGTCAGAGGCACATCAATGGCTCAATTTATTGGTCTCTCAGGTGCCTGAAAGAGTACCTCCGCACGAGACAGTCACTTTCAATTTTGCATCAACTTTCGATGGAGGAACACAACTTCAAGCCACTTACACGTAAATCCATTTTCATCAGTTATTCCGTCTAGGAAAGCAGTCGATGCGTTCCATTACAACAACACTAATAATGATTCGCTTAGCTTTATCCTCGAATTATTTCTCTATTCTTACTCAGGATATACTGACATCGAATGCAGCAACCGGAATGCAACTTTCGAAGTATTTCCGACTAAAAATTTATGAAGTAGTTAGACTGATGCAATAATTATCACAACTTTCGTTGCAATTTGAATCATGTTCGCCGAAAATGACTAACTCGTGATGATCATTGCACTGAATTTAATTTCAGTCGAGGTTCAGCGATATATCGAAGTGATAATATTTCCACAATTGCAATCATTCGTGATGTTCTCAGTAAAGAGGTAACTCGACGACAGATCAAAGTCGATATTCAGTGTGGTTGGTAGTCACTGATGAATTAAAAGCATGATGCTCTCTCTCAGAATCGTTTGATTGATAGTTTGCAGTGAATCACAACCACCAATTAACTCACAAAAGAAATGAATTCTAGATACGTTATAAACTGCAATTACGAGATAAACTTCTTTGCCAATTTGCAATTAATTTCTTGAAATGATATAAAATGCCTTGAGGGAGTGAATCTTGCGAATTCACTGCTACTGTTCAATGCATCACTATCGTCCGCTGGTTATGTTTATTTATTACGTCGAATATCAATCTGATGTCATGCTATTACAGTCAAAAAATCACACTGGTCAGTTATGTAATGAGACATGATTTGAATCTTCAGAAATGAATGAAGAGAGTATAATGCATACGTTGCAATTGCTTCATCCGAAAATGGAATATCAAAATAATCTACTGAGACGACTCGAACTCGCGCAAGCACTGAAGGTGCACATATTCGGTTCTTTCATTGGAATTACTTGATAACTTTTGGACTGCTTTTCATTTATGAACGTTGGAGTGGATAGAATGATGTCAACATTACTGAGTGAGGTCAACAGAGAAAAGCCAATGTATTGATTCGGAACAGTGATTGATCTCAAAGATAGAGATAGAAAAAAAGGATCACTTTTTGGTGGCTACTGAGAATGAGAAAAATTGAAGGAACTGGCTGATAACGGCGATGATTTGACGTATTTATCGGATGATATGCGGGAACTACTTGAATCATACGATAGACTGCATGATGATGCATCAACACATGGCGTTCATCTGGATCGTCTCGTTGGCATTATAACTGATCTATATATCGGTAAGCATCAATTATCACTTATAACCAATGACCACAGCGCATTACATCAACAATTACGGGGCATCCTTCCACCAAGTGGACCTCCTGTTCGATCAGAAATCACTCGTTTGGACTGATGAGTAAACGTTGTGGAGGCAGTTTGAGCAAGCTGAAACTCTACGAATAAACACAAGAGATGTAGAGTGTTGCTGCTTTGTTTGAAACATGAGGTTGATAACATATGAGATTTGGTGCAATTACATTTGCATACAATAAGGAAGCTATGAAAGAGTTTTGTAAATGACGTTTGCATATGTTTGCACGTTTTACTTTCATTTCGTGCACTGCAGTGGTAAGGGAGGCGACTGACAGTGTAACTTTATTTGCATGACATTAACAAAATACTAGTGACCAAACTCAATCAGCGACCAAACTCAATTACATTGAATACCTACCTATCGAATGTCCGTGTAGTACACTTGGCCATCGGATCGTAAATAATCAGCAGTGTCAATCCGACATTTATCACGAAATTGATCATTTTTGTTTTTATGTTTTAATACAATTATAATCATTATCTGCGGTTTTATGATTATGACTTTCATTCACGTGTCACGGAGTGAACAGAATGTAGAAGATCCGACTGAGTATCAGTTGAACAGAGAAACATTCAAAACTGCATGAAGATGAATGAATTGAGTAGGATCTGGCATAGAGATGTCGTATTTCCGTCGCTTGTGTACTTCTGTGCAGGGACTGTTCAATTTCGTTTCATAGCAATTCTTCATTGTTTAACAATTTTCATTCTCATTGCGCTCACTCCAAATCGGAATGCAATCGACTGAATAAAACATTCGTTAATTCGAATTATCGGAAACTAAAGTACCTCACTGAATCCAATAGCTTATGACATTAATGACATACTGTATATACCCGGTTATATTCAATAAGTTTTCAAAGACCTTATACCCAGTTATATTCAATAAGTTTTCAAAGACCTATTCTGTCGATCACATAAACACTGACAAACTTGTTGATCGGATGCAGAAATGAGTAGGATGTCATTAATAATAATAGGAAATAGAATGGTCTCGATGAAATCATGTCTCAAATTTGTAGATTCAAATAGATTATAGTTGGAATGAAACGCATAATGGGATAACTTTATCGAATGACTCAATTATTGCATAGCAATCACGCGAAATTGTATTTGTTAATTGAATTTGTAAACAATTTCAGATAAGGAACGAATGGCTGGCAGAAATGGAAAGGCAAAGGTTGAGGAGCTTTTAAGCATACTATCAAAATATGATGCTAGGACACTGCATAATTTCTTCATGGGTAAATCAGCCGTGCAACAGCAATAATAATAATAATAGTGTAATTGGATTAACAACATCAGAGACTACAATCATAAAACGAGTACTTATACTGCTCTCGCTACGAGATGACAGAGACCAGCACCTGTAGACCCCACAGCAAGAAGCCTTAAAGTTATGAAATTCATGCAACGCATCGATGAGCCTGATGCACCATCAAGTGAAACAAGTTTAAAAAGTGTTGCCGGCTTGCATAACTCGATAAAAATTATTTCTGAAAGGGTCCGAACGGTTTTTGCTTACATTCAAAAATGTCGAATACGCAAACCGAATTTTAACTTCATTTTGTGAAATAATGTGATGTATGGGGAAAACGTTGTCCATAATCCAGACATAAATAAAGATTCACAGCAATAAACAAATCAGATGTGCGTTAGCTTTATTTGCGATGAAATTACTGAGGTTTGCCCGAGACATCAATCACTTTTTGGCGTAATAAAAATTAAATATGATTACGAGAGGGAGTAATCGGTTATCTTATAATCATTTAGTTATTTATTATTAAGTTTAATTGGCAGGCTAATAATACTTTTTCAATAATTACGATCCAATTGTAATTAGATAATTTTTCACTATTTTCGATAAAGTTTTTCGCAACCATTTCACGAATAATTTTCGATTAACATTTGAATTTTACAACAGCTACAACGATAATTACACAATACAATTGTAACTTGATCACGGGTAGCAGCTTTATTAGATAAAGTAATTAATCTACTTACGTGCAAATTTGTAATGAATGAATATATCAAGGAGCACCTGATCTATGAATTCAACCAGAATTTCAACGCGAAAATGATTTCATTTTACGTAATCGGCAGCATCTGGTGAACGGCTAAACCAATTTGAGTGCATCTAAGCGCGCTGAATTACGCGTGTGAAACTCCGTCTAAATCCGTCGAGAGCAGTGACCAAAACACATCATGAACCACCAGAACATCCCCAGTTCAAGCGAGAAAATGACGTTTGGAAAGTTACGGTCGTTATATTCAGTCCCAATTTGATATACAGCGATTGTGCTTCGCGCAAATAGAGCCTAGGCCAGGATGCACTCACTTGCAAATTTGTATGTTGTACATGAAAATAACCTAATCCGTGAACTCTTTCAAAATTTCGTCGCTCTAGATTTCGCCATTTGAAGACGAAATTAACCAAATTTTTGCACATGATACGCAAATGATTGCTTTATTCAAAATGCTTTATTCAAAAAAATCTTATAGATCCCAACAGAAATAATGTGATGCCAAATGTGATTATCACTCTTGACTAACGTTCACCTGAACCGAATAAGAGATCAACAAATGTCTTTCTTCATTCAGAATAGTTGAAACCGTTTCTCTGCGGCGCGAGAAAAAGAAAGGAGAGAAATAAGTTGTTATTCCCTATTATGCGGATTTACAACAATGACGTTTCGGTGTTTAACACCATCATCAGATTTGAGAAGAACATCAAAGAAGGAAGATTGTGAAAACAGAAAGGTATAAACTTGTTATTGCTTACGTAATCAAGGAATAAATAAATGAATAAAACAAGAGGTCATATAGGAAGGAGGTAAAGAGGAGTTACAATGTACATAATATCAAGAAGTTGGTGACGTGGATTGGCTTAAGGAAAAGTTTTGGTATATTCGAATGTTTGAGTGGAACAGAATGCGCGGGGATATGAACGTGTTCGATATAAAATATGTTTTGTTTGTTGAGCATAAAGAAGCACTAATTAGTTAGAGTTGAACAATATTAATTGGAATTGTGGAAAGCGGGTAGGAAATGGAAAAGTAATTGGAAGGGGTGAGGGTTGCTATTGTGAGGAGGATTTGACGTAGAGGAAACCAAGATAATTGAGTTTGTTATTGTTGATAGAAGGATTTCAACTTCTAATTAGAGTTATCTTCATAACTCTGCGTTGGACAATGCTTTTTGCCCATCGTTCATTTGAAATAACACCGTTATGATATGAAAGATCACGGCAGAATAGTGGCATATCGATATATGGAGGGAGATTTGGATGATTGCGAGAGCAAATATCTTCTGTTAGGCGACAGTGGAAGGGGCGAGAGCGGAAGGCGACAATGACTGATATGTTACTGGGCAAACCTGAGAGCACCGGTAGGGTTGAAGATGATAGCCCTCTAGCCTTGAGATAGCTTTAAGAAAATTGCTACATCTCCTCAAGTGAGCAGAATTGCTCACCAGAATTTATTTTTCTCTGAATCTAGAGGTTTCGCTAGATCGAATGCTGTAAACATATCAATATATTACTCGGCAAACATGAGAGTACGGTAGGCTTGAAGATGATAAATTTATATTGCTATAGTAATGTATGCGTTGATCTATAGTGATACAATGCACATGAATGAGTGCCAATACGCTAGTTGAGATAGATTTGAGAAAATTCCATGATTGAGTTAGAATCGCAAAGTGCCTAGAGAACCCCGCAAAAACTATTCGGATGTCACATGATAGGGACAGGCTCAAGTTTAAACCCCTCGCCTGGACGTAAGCTCATAACTTTGGTGAGATTAGGATAAATTTGAAAATATGAATGGTGCGTGGCGCGACAGTTGCATAAACGTTTTTCCAAGTGTTACCACAC